GGTCAGCCCACATGCAGCACGGTCAGCCCACACACAACAGCACGATCAGTCCACACGCAGCACGGTCAGCCCACATACAGCACGGTCAGCCCACACACAACAGCATGGTCAGTCCACATGCAGTATGGTCAGCCCACACGCAGCACGGTCAGTCCACATACAGCACGGTCAGTCACAGCCGTGGCCTTGATGTTGGTGTCTTCCTGTTTTAGTCTGTTCTCACGCACTATGAAGAAATACCTGAGACTGGGTATTTATAAAGAAAAGAGGCTTAATCAACTCACAGTTCCACATGTCTGGGGAGGCCTCGAGAAACTTAACGATCATGGCAGAAGGCACCTCTTCACAAGGTAGCAGGAGAGAGAATGAGTACCAATCGAAGGGGGAAACCCCTTATAAAACCATCAGATTGCGTGAGAATGCACTAGCACGAGAACAGCATGGAGGAAACCACCCCATGATTCAGTTACCTCCACCTGCTTCTGCCCTTGGCCTGTGGAAATTATTACAATTCAAGGTGAGATTTGCATGGGGGGCACAGAGACAAACCATATCACCCCGCAAAACTCATGTTGAAACCGAACCCTCTGTGCAATAGCACTAGGAGGTGGGCCTTCTGGGGAGCACTCTGCCCTCATGGATGGATGACTGCCCTCCCAAAAGAGGCCCCAGGGAGCACACATATTCCTCCCTTCCACCATCCAAGGACATGTCTATGAATTGTGGGCTGTCACCAGACACTGAATTTACTGGTGTCTGATCTTGGACTTCCCAGCCTCCAGAACTGTGAGCAATAAGTTTTTGTTTATTGCAAATTCCCCACTCTGAGGTGTTTGTTATACAGCCCCAGTGGTCTTCCTTCCACGTGAAGGAAGCTGCAGCTCAGACACCCGTGACTGCACATAGGACGTGCTTAATTAACATTTATGGATCAAATGTGCATGTCCCCTGTGTGCCTTTCCATTTTTAAGCAGATATTTATGGTTTTTAAATTATCTAGCAGAAGTATTTTAAAAGTACATAAATTTCCAAGTGGGAATATATTTTCACAAAAAAGGCATCTTTTCTTAAGAGAAGGCCATGTAAAGATTGCCAGGCTGGTGCAATTCACCCAAGATCTATACAATCAACTTCTGGCTTTGAAATTATTTTAGCTCACTCGCTAAAGATAAACTTTAATTTGTTTTCTTTTCCCAGCTTTTTAAAGCAAACTTCACAGCCTTGGTGTATTCGCTGGCATGCCCTCTTACCCAAAGGCTGTCAGCTTCTTAGTTTTCTTCTGTTCCCACTTTAACAAAATTGTACATAGAGTCCTTTAAGTTTTGCCACTTTTGAGTATCATTCAATCAAACGAAATCTACATACTGACAATGCTGTCATTTCATCTGTTACCACCTGAATCTCCACTGCGAGTGCAGCTTCTCTGATTCCCACCCGTCTCCACCTAGACTTCTCACGGACACCTCAAATTCTCCAAACCTCGCTTCCCTCTGCCCTCCGGGAGCTTGGCCACCTCAGCACATGCACTGCCATCCTGCCAATCGCTCAGCCCAAACCTTGAAGCCATGCTGCCCGACCCAATTCGTCACGAGTCCCATCAGCTCTCCCTTCACAAGGCATCCAGACTACAAACATGCTTCCTGCTGCGTGGCTACACCCTTACCCACTCCTGGACTAGCCAGCAGCTTCCCTTTTGACTTATCTGGAATGTTCTGTTCTCCACGTGGCAGTCACGATGATCCCTTCAGAGCACAAATCTTCCCATGTCAATTCCTGTTCCCTTCGTATCTTCCTAACACAGTGCAAATGAAACACCAGGTTCTTACCTCAGGCTTTAGGGGCTGATATGGTTTGGCTGTGTCCCCACCCAAATCTCAGTTTGAATTGTAATTCCCATAATCCCTACGTGTCACCGGAGGGACCCAGTGGGAGGTAATTGAATCATGGGGGTGGTTTCCACCATGCTGTTCTTGTGATACTGAGTTCTCATGAGATCTGATGGTTTTATAAGTTTGCATGCATTCTCTCTGCTGCCACCCTGTGAAGAGGTGCCTTTTATTTATAAATCACCCAGTCTTGGATATTTCTTCATAGCAGTGTGAGAAGGGACTAATACAAAGGGCCTACATCTGAAATCAGCAAAGTACAGCCCTGGAGCCAAATCTGGCCCCTCACTGGCTCTTATAAATAAAGCTTTATTGGCACACAGCCAAGTGTTCATTCATGATTGTGTGTGCTGCCTCTGCTACAGTGGTGTTGAGCTGTTGTGACAGACACCATTTGGCCCTTCCCCACTTCCTCCCTCCTTCCTTCCTCCTTCCCTCCTTCGTCTCCACCTTCCTCCTTCCATCCTCCCTCCTTCCTCTTTCCCTCCTTCTTTCCTGTGTATTCCACACACACCTAGAACGTAAGCTGCATGTGGCTTTGTCTGTCCTGCCCACTGCCATGTCCCCAGGCTGGGGCCGTGCCTGTGTCACTCCAATTCATCACACAGGGCATTGGTGCCACCTTCCACCTTGCACCTGCTGCCTTTACCCTCTGCTCTCTGTCTCCCTAAATATTTCCCAGGGCCCTCTGAGCCTCCACTGTTCATTTCTCTGCCTGGCCTCAAACAGAAAACTGCAGGAGGGGAGCACCCAGCTGTGCAGGTCATGCCCAGAGGCTCCTGCTGCGGGCACCTCCCCCAGCCTGGACTTTGGCTGTTTGCAGCCCTATCCCAGTGCTCCGGGTGGGAATGGCAGGCTGCGTCCCACTGCTCCAGGGCCTGGTCCTGGTCCTCGCCCTGCACCGTGCAGCGCCCTCAGGTAGGCGTCTGGCTTATCCATCTGTCATGCCTGCACTGCGCCCTTCTTGACTTAGTCCACGGTGAATTTGTAGATGATGCTTTTTCTAGGAGGCAGAGGAGCCCTGAGTGCTCAGACTTGTCCTAATTCCCCTTCCTGAAAAAGCTGCTTGAATCTTTATCATTTGCTGACAAGTATTTGGGACAGGATGGTGTCACTGGGGGTCCTCCCAAGAGATGTCCAAATGGAAAGAAGCGTGTGTGCGGGAGATTCAGCAGGGAAAGGCCTGGGAGGGGTGAAGGGTGGGGGGCCAGGCTTGGGCCGGGCAGCAGACAGGATGGAGGGAGCAGGGCAGGCCTAGCCCAGACTGCAGAGTGGGCAGAGAGAGCCTTGGCCAGGCCGGCAGGAGTGCCCGGTCTTGAGAAAAATACACAGCCAGGGAGCGTGCAGCCACCCTGCCCCCCAACACCCTGCCCCCCAACACCCTGCCCCCCGCCACCCTTCTATCACCAGCCACCCTGCCTGCCCACCACCCTGCCCCTCCCCTGCCACCCTTCTACCACCAGCCACTTCACTGGAGGGATAGACACAAACCCCATCCTGAATATGCCAGCACAGGCGTCCAGGAAAGCTGCAAGTCCCCCCTGGTCCCATGGTCTCCCGCCCTGAGAGGGTGACCCCTCCCAGCACTGACCGTGGCCGGGCTTTGCTGAGCCGCCTCTGTTAGAACCCTCAGCACCGAGAGAAAGGGAGGGAGGATGGGAAGGGCCTGGACTTTGACCCTTGGGGAGCAGGAGAGAAGGTGATTCGGGGCCCTCAGCTGGGAAGAGGCTCCAGGGGCCGCTGCCGGGCCGACTGGTCTGCCTTCTCCTCCCGGGAATCGCAGAGCCTGGTGCCATTGATACGTTTCTTCTGTTTGTGTTTTATTAAGACCTTAAATACTGAGCACAGAGGCAGCACAGGGGCTGATCGCTCCTGGTCCCCACTTCTCAGCACGGTGACCTTGTCTCCAGCTTGGCCCTCCTTTACACTCGGACCCAAAACCTGGCCCGAGCCCTCCCTCCTCCACTTCCTGACAGGCCCGTGGCTTCTGCAGAACCTCCGTGTATCTGCCCTGATCCGAGGCTCGTTCATTTGCCTGGAAGATGAAGTGCTTGCCTACCTCGAGGGGAGGGAGAGCCCGGGTGCCCCTGAGGCCCACGCAAGCTCTCTGAGAGCCTGTGGACCCCGAGGGGGCAGAGGCCAGGCGGTTCTGGAAAGCAGGGACCCCGTGCTCCCAGTCACCCGCCTTCTTGTCCTGCCTGTAGTATTTCTCCCGGCCTCAAAAGCAAGCAACGTTCTGGTGAGGTGGAAGCGTGGGGGCTCCTACCTTCTGGAAGAACTCTTCGAGGGAAACTTGGAAAAAGAATGTTACGAAGAACTCTGTGTCTACGAAGAAGCAAGAGAAGTGTTTGAAAATGACGTCATCACTGTACGTGCCCCACAAACCACAGGCTTCCTCATTATTTAGACTTCTGCTGTCGTGGGGCATGTCGCTTCTCAGAGGCTAAGCTCCACTAATTAGCCTGTTCACTTACTTGCAGATAGTAGCGTGTTTGATAGAGAGTTTCCAGTTTTACATATAAACATAGTAATATTTAAATCGATTGGGAATTAAATGTTGACCTGTTTCTCTACTATATTTTTTAATGTTTCTATATGAGAACTCTTAAGAAATAGACCATTTTTAATGCAACTCAGAGAAATCCTAGAGGCATGTGAAAAGTATAAAAATTTTTCAAAGTATTTGAAAAAAGTATTTGCCCTAAATTTCAGTTTTCAAGCTTCCTGGTAGAGAAAATTGTGTAAATTCACTACTTTTGATTCAAGTTGTCAGAAGTCCAAATATGATTTTGGGAGATACCATTTCTTATACATTTTCTTTCTAGGTGTTAAGCCTGAATAATTCTCCTAATTTTAGATACTCTGTCTCCATACTAAACATCCCCACTCCCTACACACATACATAGCTTTAAAATCTGACCTGTTTATAACAAATGAAAAGGTGATGTGACTTTTTCTGTATCATGTGCTTTTGTGGAGGGTGGCGTGGAGGTTGGCCCTAGGGGGGACCGGCCACGTTAGGAGCCACGTGGCGGGTTTGTGCTGCATGGCAGACTACCGCCCTTCCTTAAATAGGTTGTGGTGAGCACATGTTGAGTAAGATGATCTTGCAGGTCCATTTAGTTAATATACATTTAACATAAACAAATTGCCTGTAAAACAGACGGGACAGTTGTGCGTTGTTTCAACCAATGTTGTCCCATTAGGTGAATAAATATTTTCTTACCTTCAAGTTCATCTACAGGAACATGAAGGTAAGAAAAACAAATGTCCCATTTGTAACGTTTTTGTGTTTTAACTCTAAAGGATGAATTCTGGAGACAATATAAGGGTAAGTGGGTTCCTTCATCTCCTTGGAGTGTTAATTCCTTGGGGTGATGTGAGGGCGTGGGCTGAGCACACTTCATGACCTGAGACCAGAGGATGCCAAGCCTTTGGCTCCAGGACCCACAATGTCTTGCCAAGGAAGGGCACAGCCCCAACTCCCCAAGGATGAGGGTCAGGAAGCCCCTGGGCTCTGCTGCCAGGGCCACAGGCAGCCCCTGGTTTGTCTTGCCCAGCGTCTGGGTAGCTTCTAGGCACCCAGGGGCTTGGGCCTTGGGCCAGGTGGGCCCCTCAAGAGCAGCTCCTCCAGCTGCCTGGCTCCTGGGAGGCCTCATGCTGCAGCAGGGTCAGAACTCATCTCACATTTGGAAAGTGACAGCCCCGATGGAGGTAACTTTGGTTAGGGGACTGCTCCCGGGGGAGGAGCTCAGGGTGGGCAGCTGCAGAACTCAGGACAGAAGTGACGTAGACGGAGACCCATGGGGCTAAGGGAGGCCAGGCAGGGTAAGGACCCACCTGGGAATGAGTAAGGAAAGAGCTGCAGCCACCACCAGGCACGGGGACAGCTGGCCACAGAAGGAAGAGGGAGAGGCTTGGGAGGCTGGAGAAGGGCTGACGGGCAGGAAAGAGGGGCCGCAGGTGGACGCAGAGGTGTCACGGACCGCGGAGCAGGAGGTACCGGCAGCCTGGCCCTGTGACCTGAGCGAGGAGTATCCTGGGGACTGGGTGATGGCATGGGGAGCAGCACAAGCGGGCTCAGGTCCCCGTCCCTGCTGCCACCCCCACCCCATCCTCCTCCTGCTCAGGTCCCCATCCTTGTCACCCCCCCCTCCTGCTCAGGTCCCCGTCCCTGCCACCACCACCAGCCCCCCGCCACCCTTCCTCCTGCAGGCGGCTCCCCGTGCATCTCCCAGCCCTGCCTCCACAACGGATCTTGCCAGGACAGCACCCGAGGTTACACCTGCTCCTGCCCCGCTGGCTACGAGGGCATCAACTGCGAGCTGGGTGAGGCTCCGGCCGTCCCCTTCCCCCAAGGGCCTCCCCGGGCAGCTGGGCTTCGCACCCTCGGCCAGGGTCCTAATGGGCCCCTCTTGGGGTGTAGACAAGCAAGTGCCTGTGTGAACCGTGATTCGGCTCACCCCAGTAGATTCCTCTCCTCCCAACCAGATTCTCCTCTAGAAACCACGCCCGGAGCTCTGGCTGCATTCTGAGCTGCCCTCCCTTCCAGACGGGCCCCCCATACTTTTCACAGCGTGGTCTCCTCTCCTCCCCACCCCCGCCTCCACCATTCACAATCTGCTCACAGGCTGGAGTCACACACAGGCATCCTCAGGGCCAGATCCCCAGTGGGAGGCTCTGCAGACAGGGAAGACAGACAGCACATAAACAAACATCCTTAAATACCTGCCAAGGGCCAGCGTCCATAACCGCCAGCTACAGCAACAAGTGCGCTACGTCCTCAGCGCCACTGGGCAACTTGGAGCCCATTTCTCTGGGGAAAACCTTCCTTCCAGCCCAGCCCTCTCCTCCCAAGTCCGGACTTCTGCTCCATCTGCCTCCTCGATGCCCCAGCTAGTGCCTGCGCAGACATCCCAAATTTACCATGTACCAAAGAAGGCTTTGACCTCCACCCACCACGTGCCCCCCAACTTGTTATTTATTTATTTATTTTTGAGACAGAGTCTCGCTCTGTCGCCAGGCTGGAGTGCAGCGGTGCAGTCTTGGCTCACTGCAATCTCTGCCTCCCAGGTTCAAGCGATTCCCTGCCTTAGCATCCTGAGTAGCTGGGACTACAGGCACACACCACCACACCTGGCTAATTTTTTTGTATTTTAGTAGAGATGGGGTTTCACCATGTTGGCCAGGATGGTCTCAATCTCCTGACCTTGTTATCTGCCCACCTTGGTCTCCCAAAGTGCTGGGATTACAGGAGTGAGCCACCACGCCCAGCCACGTGTCCCTTGCTTAATCTTCTCCCTCTTGGTGGAAAGCCCCCATCCCAGCTGCTCAGCCACCATCGAGGTCACACCAACCCCCTCCCATCCCACATCCCCTCCTTGAAGAAGCAATTTAAAAGGAGCAGCCATTGCAGTGGGAAGTGCAAGCCGGCAGAGAAAACAGGCGCGTGGATTTCAGGCCATGTGGAAATACATCCAGGGCCACGTTTTCTAAGGACAAACAGAAGTGCTGTCACTCACCGAGTCTTTGATCTACATGCGCCTTCCTGAAACACAGAAGCGTGGGAAGCTGTCACACAAAGGGCAGCAATCTAAAGAGAATGAACTCAGGGACCAAAATACCAGAACTCTGTGCAAGGCTGTGATCAAATGACTCTCTTTCCAAGCTAGTGTTTCTAGTCTTTCTCTTTGTTTTGTTTTGTTTTTTTTTTTTTTTCCTTTTTGGCTAAAAATGAATGTCACCCAGAGCGGATTGATGGGTGTCAACACTTCTGCCTCCCGGGACAGGAATCCTACACGTGCAGCTGTGCTCAGGGCTACAGGCTTGGTGAGGACCGCAAACGCTGCATTCCCCACGGTGAGTGCTCAGACCACAGCGGCCTCCATACCCTCAACCTGTCCACCTCCTCCTTCCTGCTTCTGTGGTACCGGGTGAAGCCCACGGATTTGTGGTAAGGAATTGCCCCGACTCAGAAGGTGGTCGGGTCTCCACGCCGGAGCAATGGCAATGCTAGAAAGTGCAATTTGTGTCACTAGTGCTTGCCCGGACCACTCTGAGCTAAACCATGAGTGCAGTGAGGGGTGGTTTAACTCCACTCTGCCCCATGTCTGCATCAATTACCCCACATTCATCTGCACTGAAGACGAGATTGTAATGGCTAGTACCGTAGACCCAGTTCTGCAACAGCTGGCACCATAGACGAGTCCCATTCTCGCTGGGAAGGCGCTGATTTTTATTCTCTTGTTGCTGCCACAAATGCAGACCAGTGTGCCTGTGGGGTGCTGGCCTCCAGGAAGAGCGCACAGGATCCGCAGGACCTCCCGTGGCAGGTAACAGGGCGCTCTCCACATGCTTCATTTATTGCTGCGGCCTTCACCTTACCTGTCATTTCCATCTTTGCTAAACAGAAATGTACCGACTCAGTGAATCGGGCACCCTGACTTTGGTGGGCTGTTGACTGTATTGACCAACTAACCTCTATTCACACTTCAAACCATTTTCTACTGCTGAGCTCTTACCTTCAGGTGCCTTCATTATTTGCCCCAAATACAAAAGGACAGCATCATTTACAGCCCCAAAGACCCTTCCTGTGCAGTTCCAAAGTGTTACCGATGTCATTTTCTCCGAACATCTCGAAGTCACCGCGTGTCTGGGAAGCACTTCAGCGACGGGCTGCTGAACGGGGACCTGGGCGTCACCGCGGAGGCTGAGGGGCAGCCTGGGCCCAGCTCAGGCACCGGCTCTGCTCTCAGCTACCGGCCTGACTGCTGTTCTAGCTATGTTGTTTCGTTCACTACTTTTCTCTAGTTTGGCATTCATTTTTGTTCTCTTCCTTTTCCCCCTTGGCTGATTTAGAAGTCAACCATTCACTTGTTTTTGGTTTTCTTTAGACGGAGTCTCGATGTGTTGCCCAGCCTGAGGTGCCGTGGTCCAATCTCCGCTCACGGCACCTCCGCCTCCTGGGCTCAAACGATTCTCCGGCCTCGGTCTCCTGAGTAGCTGGGACCACAGGCACACCACCACACCCGGCTGATTTTTATGCTTTTAGTAGAGATGGGTTTCACCATGTTGGCCAGGCTGGTCTCGAACTCCTTACCTCAAGTGATCCACCCACCTCAGTCTCCCAAAGTGCTGGGATGACAGGTGTGAGCCACCACGCCCGGCCTAATCTGTCACTTTCTGTTTATTTCATGGTCACTCTTGATACATAAACATCCATATTTAGCATATCTAAAGTCAGCCATTTCTCCCACCTCAGACTTAATTCTCACCACATCTCCTTCTGGGTCCATTTGCTATCTGAGCAGTATTTTATTCTTTTCTTGCTTTCTGTACAGCTTCACAAAACGGATATTACGATTTTTATTATTATGGCTTTATACCACCAGCATTGGCTTTGATTTACTTACATCATTTTCGGCTTTCCTTGCCTTTCCGGCCTCCAACACAATTATCTCCTTCTGCCTGAGTAGATGCTTCAGAACAGCCTTGTCCAATAGAAACGCAATGAAAACCACATATATAATTTAATATTTTCCAGTAGCCACAATAATGTAAGTAAAAGCATGTGAAATTAATTTTGATGATATTTAGCCCAATATAAGTGTCAATGCTTCCACATGTGACGAATATAAACATTATTGAGATATTTGCCTTTTCCCTTTACACGAAATCTTTGGAATCCGGTGTGAATTTACACTGAGGTACAGCCCTGGCATCCACAACGCTCAGAACCCAAGTGGGGCTGCCATGTGGGTGGCACAGCCTCAGGGGCCCCCTCTGTGAGGGCCTGTAAGGAACAAGCCCCTGAGGTTTCTGTGGTGTGTGTGTGTGTGTGTGTGTGTCATGCTTCAGTTTCACCTCAATTCTTTTGTGTGTGTGTGTGTATGTGTTTAGATGGAGTTTCACTCTTGTCGCCCAGGCTGGTGTGCAGTGGCGCGATCTCAGCTCACTGCACCCTCTGCCTCCCAGGTTCAAGTGATCCTCCTGCCTCAGCCTCACGAGTAGCTGGTACTACAGGCACCTGCCACCATGCCTGGCTAATTTTTTGTGTTTTTAAGGAGAGATGGGGTTTCACTATGTTGGCCAGGCTGGTCCTGAACTCCTGACCTTGTGATCCGCCCGCCTTGGTCTCCCAAAGTGCTGGGATTATAGGCGTGAGCCACTGTGCCTGGCTTTACCCCAATTCTTACTAGACAGCTCTGCCCAGCCCACTCACTCTGGCAGCCTGTGGACTGGGAGAGAACAGGATGGAGCTGAAGGACTTAAAGCTACCCAGCTCCAGGATGGAAAGGAAGAGACTGAAGGGAGGTGAAGCAGACGGAGTGTTGGAAGGCGGACAGAAGCAGGAACGATCTACCAGCAGCTTTGCAAGCTTCCTCTCAATCTTTTATCACCTTCCTTCTGCAAGCTTTCTAAGACAGTTCTTCCTATCGCTGTCTGCCCCATGAGTGCGTGGAGGGTTGGTACCCGGGGGCCCAGGGTGCAGGGCTCCTCTATGGGTGGTGACAGGGTCTGGCTCTGTCACCTGCAAGGCTGCCTCTGGCTTCCCGGCTTACCCAAGGGAAGACAGGGCAGGGTTCTAGCTGCAACCGTAGCACTCACATCTGCAAGGCTGAGAGCCGTATAACCTGGGAGGCGGCATTCTCTGAACATAGCTGGTGTGTTTAAGACACAGGACGTTGACTTAGGCGGGCTGCCTACTATTAGATTTTTACTTCAGTACTATAAATTGTTCTGAAGTTATGTAATTGAATTGACGTAGGGAACTTTCCTAAAACAAACTTTGAAAAGGAGAATAATCAAGTGACCTAGCAGGATGTAGCGTTGAAGATTATCTTTAGAACTTCCTTGTATCTTACATCCTAGGGAAGAAATTGGCTGTCGGCTCCACTGCGTTTAACTAAAAGTCTGGCAGACTGATGGCACAAGTGCCATCTTCTCTCAAACTTGGTTTTATCCACCTTTAAGTGAGGATCACAGATGATGTTTTCTTACAGTAGGTATTCGGCAAGCGGGAGCTATCATTCATGAACACATAAACAGTTCCAGGAACGATGCCATGGCAAAGTTGAAAAACTCTTTTCTCCTTTGCTCAGCACTTTCCATTGTATTAGACCACGGAAGGATACGGCACTTAACACTTCCGGAGCAATACCTGCACTACGTGGGTACATGCTTTATTTCATTCAATCCTTCCAATAACGTCTCATTTTTGCCTTTTGTATTCCTGGTAATACTGCTTGCTTTAAAATCCCCTTTGTCTGATATTGATATGGACACTTTAGCTTTCTAATAATTAGTGTTAGCATGACTTACTTTTTCCATTCTTCTACTTTTAACCTATTAGTATTTTTACATTTAAAGTACATGATTTATAGGTAGCATATAATCGGCTTGTATTTTTATCCAGTCTGGAAAATCCCTGTCTCTTAATCGGGGTGTATAGGCCATTTTACATTTATCGTAATTGTTGATATGTTGAGGTTGAAAGCTATCATCTTGCTACTTTTTTATCATCTTGCTATATCATCTATCATCTTGCTTTTTTTTATTTTTCTCGTCTGTTCTTTTCCCCCTTTTCTGCCTTCTACTAGATTAACTGCATCTTGTTATGATTCTGTTTCCTCTCCTCGCTGGTTCCTCGTCTCTGGTTCTTGTCCGTGGTTGCTTCACGGTTTGTTTGGAGAACACATCTTTAGTGTACCGCAGTGACCACTCCACCTTCGCAGATGCCACGTCCGCTCGCTGTAGCGTGAGTCCTTACAACAGTCAAGCCCCATTCCTTCCCTCCTGGCCTGTGTGCTGTTTTTGGCATATGTCTTACATCTAGAGGTATTATAAATGCCACTCTGTACTTCCATTATTTTTGTTTAACAGTATCCTGTAAAGAAGTTTAAAGAATAAGAAAAACCCTTACATGTACACCGGAATGCGGATAAAAACTTAATAGGCTGTCATGACCTTTCCCAGTGTTCTTCGCTGCTTTGTGTAGATCCAGATTTTCCCCCTGCCGAAAGGGCTCCTCTGATATCTGCTGTGCTGTGAGGCGTCTGGGGAAGAAGCCTTCCTGCATTTGTCTGGAGAAGTCTTTATTCACCTTCCATCTCTGAAGGGCTCTGCATCCGGCACAGAGCCCCAGGCTGGCAGCAGTCCTGTCCCCTCGGCTCTTGGGCCTGCCCTGCTGCCTTTCCGTCTGCCTCGTGCCACGGACGGCCCCGGCCACCCTGCTGCCATTCATCACACATCCTTTCCCGTGGCACTTTTAAGATCTTAAATGCTTTTTAATCTTAACTTTCTAAGATTGACTCTATCACAGATTTTGAGGAGTTTAATTATATTGTATCTTTCTGTTGTTGTCTTCATGTTTCTTATGCATAGGTTTGTTGAGATTCTCAGATTTGTGGGTTTATAGCATTCATCAAATTTGAAAAATATTTGGTCATAATTTTCTTTTCTTTTCTTTTTTCTTTTCTTTTTTTGTGAGACAGCGTCTCACTGTGTTGCCTGGGCTGGAGTCTAGCGGTGTGATTACGGCTCACTGCAGCCTCAACCTTCTGGGTTCAGGTGATCCTCCCACCTCAGCCTCTTGAGTAGCTGGGGCCATAGGTGTGCACCACCACACATAGCTAATTTTTAAATTTCACGAAGAGATGGGGTCTGGCTGTGCTGCCCAGGCTGGTCTCAAGCAATCCTTCCATCTTAGCCTCCCAAAATACTAGGATTACAGGCAGGAGCCGCCATGTCTGGCCCATTATTTTCGGATATTTTTTCTCTTCTCCCTGCTCTTTTTTGGGACTCTAATTATGTGTATCTTAAACAATTTGAATGCTATAGCTCAGAAGTGGTCTGTTCATTTTTCAAAAATCTCCTTTCTCTCTGTGTTTTACTTTTGATAGTTTGTTGTGATGTCTTCAAGGTCATAAATCTGTTCTTTTGCAATGTCTAATCTGCCACCAATCCTGGCCAGTGGATTTTTAGCCTCATACATTGTAGCTGTCATCCAAAAATTTAATTTAGGTTTTAAAAAATATATTTTTTTGTCTCTACATAACTTCTTGAGTATTTGGACTATAGTTACAATCCCTATTTCATTGTCCTTGTCTACTAATATCTGCCAGTGCTGAAAGTTTTGGGAGATTTTTCTTCTCATTATGGGTCACGTTTTCCTGTTTCGTTGTATGCCTGGTGATCCGTAATGGATTTTCAGACACTGTGAATTTCATCTTGTTAGGTGCTGAATGTTTTGTGTTCTATACATACACATGGTTATTGTTCTGGGACACGGTTAAGCTGGAAATGCGTTCCTCCTTTGGGATATTGCTCTTATGATGCGTTGGGCAGGACCAAGGAGGCAGCTCAGTCTGCAGCCAGTTACCCTGACTACCGAAGCGAAGCCCTTCTGTGCGTCCTGCCCTGTGCCCGAGTCAGGGATGCTTTAACTCAGCAGGTGAAAACAATCTCTGTACCCAGCCTGTGTGAGCGTCCAGCACGGTTCCCTCTCACCCTCTTGGGTGGTCTTTTCCCTGGCCATAAGTAGTCTCCATGTACACATGTGATCATCACTGCTCTGCTGAAAATTGCTAGCATGCGGCCATCTTCCAGTGTTTCCTACCAAGCCCTCTCCTCTGCCGGACTCTGTTCTGCAAACTCCAGCCACGGTGGCCTCCTTGGGCTCTCAGGTCTCTCTCTTCAGTTCAGGGAGTGAGCGGGGCTCCAACTGAGATGCCTCGTCCTGCCTCACACCATAGACATTCAGGACAGTAGCTGGGACAGTCATTTCTTGGGGATTATGGTCCCTGAAAACCATCATTCCATAGATTTTTTCCGTGTTTTGCTTCAGGTGGAAAGGTAGATCTGGTCACTCCTACTTCACCGTGGCCAAGAGGGGAAGCGCCAGCCCCATTTAATCCCTGAGCAAGTAAAAGCTTAGATTGCCAGTGATTTGCTAACAATCCTGTAGCCATTTGAGTGCCACGGCAAGATTCAAATGTAGCTGTCTGCCTTCTGAGTCCATATCCCTAACCCGTAGACTTTACCGCCCCTGATCCTGCAAATTGTCACCAGCTATTTATTGTCTGTTTTGATTTTTAAAGGTAAAGCTAACAAATTCTGAAGGAAAAGACTTCTGTGGTGGTGTTATAATACAAGAAAATTTTGTACTGACAACAGCAAAATGTTCACTGTTACACAGGAATATTAGTGTAAAAACACGTAAGTATTTTATCATGAGTTCAATCACATTGGAAATAAACTATCCTATGCCAGAATGAAATGAAAAATTTAAAACTGGAATGTTTGTTTCTAATGCAACATAGAACTGAATTTACACTCAATAAAACAGATCCTTATACACTCAGGAAGCATCTGTAAAATACCCGGCATGACAGCGGGGTGTGGTGGCGGGCAAGTGCTGACTCACACTTAGCGAGGGAGGGGTCGTAGCCGACACAAGGATGATGGAACAGTCGTGGCATAAGAGATGAGTAGTTGGCTAAAAATTGGAAGAATGGGGCTGGAATCCCCCAGCAATTGAGAACTTGGGCTGAGACCGTAGCCTTCTCATTGGTTTATCTGTGCCTTCCTTTTCTTCTTTTTTCTTTTCTTTTTTTTTGGAGACAGAGTCTCACTCTATCCCCTAAGCTGGAGTGCAGTGGCGCGATCTGGGCTCACTGCAACCTCCGCCTCCCGGGTTCAAGCGATTCTCCTGTATCAGCCTCCTGAGTAGTTGGGATTACAGGTGCCTGCCACCACACCTGGCTATTTTTTTTTTTTTTTTTTTTCATTTTTAGTAGAGATGGGTTTTTGCCATGTTGGCCAGGCTGGTCTCGAACTCCTGACCTCAGGTGATCCACCTACCTTGGTCTTCCAAAGTGCTGGAATTACAGGCGTGATCCACTGCACCCAGCCATGTGCCTATTTCTTTAGCTGTCCAAACACACAATAGTTTCTATCTCATCGGGAGTCTGCAAAGTTCCACATTAACCTGTCAACAGGCTCTATAATGACTCTGAAGAAACTCAAAATAAATATATTTTTACTCTTCATCTTTAATTTTTTTTTTTTTTTTTGAGACAGAATCTCATTCTGTGGCCCAGGCTGGAGTGCTGTGGTGCGATCTTGGATCACTGCAGCCTCCGCCTCCTGGTTTCAAGCGATTCTCCTGCCTCAGCCTCCTGAGTAGCTGGGATTACTGGCATGCACCACCACGTCCGGCTAATTAGTTGTATTTTTAGTAGAAACAGGGTTTTGCTATGTTGGAAAGGCTGGACTCAAACTCCTGGCCTTAAGTGATCCACCTGCCTTGGCTTCCCACAGAGCTGGGATTATAGGTGTGAGCCACTGCGCCTGGCCCTTAAATATTTGTCAGCGAACAAAATCACTTGAAACCCACTTCTCTACAGCCAATATTTGACTGGCCTGGAGAAGTTCCGCATCAGTGCTTCTTACTTTATAATCATTTCACCAAACCTATTGTAATTTCCCAAACAGAAGAACTTACCTTGACTATTTTTAATGCTGGGGCATTTGGTTGCAATGGTGCAATCTGTGAGTGGCCTTTCCGTCCACAGAGGAACACAAAAGGCCACCACAGGGCAGTGAGCCTGCGGGTCCTCCAGGGGCGGGCTCTCCCTCCTCAGGTGGCTCACTGAGAAGTGTGTTCCTGTACTTACCTGGCAGGGGAGATTCCAGGATCACGAAGGTGGTTTTCCCTGGGCGAGGCTTACCCATTGCACTCCGGATGTGCGGACCCCTGCGATTTCCCCAAATGTGGGAAATTCGACTGCATAAATAAAAGTAAAAAAATGAAAAAATTTTTTAACAATTAAAAGAGAGAGAGAAGTGTGTTCCTGAATATCATGTCACCTTGAAAATCAGACTGTAAAGCATTGGCAATTGTTCATGATTTCAGATTTTAACAGAACGAGCAAAGACCCACTGATGATGAAGATAAAGCGTGTCCACGTGCACATGTGGTACGACGCGGACACTGGGGAGAACGACCTGTCCCTGCTGGAGCTGGAGCGGCCCCTCCAGTGCCCGGGCGCGGGACTCCCCGTGTGCACCGCAGAGAAGGACTTCGCTGAGCACATCCTCATCCCACGCACCAGGGGCCTCCTCAGCGGCTGGGCCCACAATGGCACTGACCGGGGCAACTCGCTGACCATGCTGCCGGTCACACTTGTGGAGGGGGAGGAGTGTGGGCAGCTCCTGAACATGACTGTCACCACCAGGACCTACTGCGAGAGAAGCGGCGTGGCGGCCGAGCACTGGTTGGAGGGAAGTGTGGTCACCAGAGAGCACAGAGGCTCCTGGTTCCTCACGGGGGTCCTGGGCGCACAGCCAGCAGGAGGGCAGGCTCACACAGTCCTCGTCACCAAGGTCTCCAGGTACTCACTCTGGTTTAAACAGATGATAAAGTAGCAAAAGTCAGCTATCCAGAAAACACAACCTGAAGTGGGATTCCAAGCTTGCACTGCCACCACGGGGTTGGAGGGGGGCGCTGACACTTCACCACATGCCAGGTCACACAACTGTCACGTCCCCGACCACCCGCTCAGGCCATGAGCAGCAGAGCAGCTGGGTCGTTTACTGAGCGCTGTGTCTTTCTTTCCCGGGAACTCTTTATTTCAATAGAGACCTTAGAAAACACGAGATACACTAAATAATAAAATAAGATAATCTGTCAGTTGTAAAACAGCCTGGTTTCCTGAAGTTCTTTCCCCCTCCAAGTCCAGTGTTCTCTGTGCTCAGGGCGTGGCCACTCACCTGCACACAGGTGAGTGTGTTCTTATGCAGAAGCGGCCGGCAATCACCAGTTACAGCCAAAAGCGACCTCCTGATTCTGCTGGTTCACCGGTTGCCACTGTGACCAAGACGGTGGCTCAGTGCGGGAACAGTCACTAGAAGCAGGTTGGCAATGGAGGAGGAGAACGATCCTGGGGCGCCCTAGAGAGGCAGCCTCACAGGAAAGGGCCGGGGAGCACAGGAGGCTGAGGAGGCAGTTCGGCCTCTCATGGGCTTGTGTACCAGCCCTCTCCGGGAGGGTTCCCACAGGTTCCCCGCCCCGGGTCAGGGCTGAGCACTGCAGTGTCAGCACTCTGCTCATCCTCCAGCTGGCTCTTGGACACTGGCTCCAGGGTCGCCCAGGGTGGAATCCCAACACCGCGCCAATGGGCTGATGGGCGGCTGGGGCGGCGCTCAGCACTGCTGTGGCTTGAGTGTGTGTCCCTTCAAAACTCCGAAGCCGGAACTTACCCCAAGATGATGGCTTGGGGGAGGTGGTGCCCCTGGGAGGTGACTAGGCCGTGAGGGCTCTGCCAGACCCTTCCGTCCCTTCTCCCACACGAGGACGCTGGAGCAAGTGCTGCCCTGGAGACAGCCCTCAGCAGACACCGAATCTGCCAGGCCCCTGCCAGCACCCAGATCTTGGACTTCCCAGCCCCCAGATCTGTGAGAACTGAGTTTCCGCTGTTTGTCACCCAGTCTGTGGTATTTTGTAGAACAGCCCAGGAGTCACGGTGAGCACCTGCCGTCCTGAAGGCTGCAGCTGCAACGTGAGTACCAAGGACAGAGCTGTAACCAAGCCCCCCACCCCCACCCCCGCTGTGAGGCTTCCCCGGAGACCGGAGCTCCTAGCAGGGTCTGAATTTGCACTGACATGGACAGATATGGCGTGAATGTTCACATGTTAACTCTGACTTCGTTAAGGAAGGGGCACGGCTGCTTCTGCACCAGCACCCTCTAGCAGCAGAGTTTGCAGAGGCCATCTGAGGGAGGTGGGTGGGCGAGGTGTGCTCAGCTCGGGCAAGGGCTAGGGCCAGCTGCAGGCACCGCGGCCAGCAGAGCGTCATTGAAGAGCAGAGAGGACTTTTAGGAAGGGGATTGAAAATGTAAGTGGACAGCTATTCTTGAGTTTACAGGTTACCTGGGTTTTTAAGCCTTGCTGTTCTTCAGCACACTCTTTCGTTTATGCTTTAACCCCAGAATTAAACTTCTTTTCTCCAATCTGTAGATGAAATGGCCCATTTCTCTGAAAGGAACTTGGCAATAAACAACACTGTAATTTAAGGCAAATTAATGGGGACAGCAGTTTAGAATTCACCCTAGTGAATTTTAGTCTTAGTAAAGTTTGGTTGTGTTATTCTCAGACTAACATAAGGTAATTAGGTCACTGCTTTAAATGCCTACCAATGATTTTTAAACCAGCTAATGAATATGGCAGGCTTTCTGTAAATAATGCTGCAGAAATATCTGCAATCTTGCTTCTGGTACTTCCATTACAAATTTGGATTGACTAGAGTGGAAGCCCTGCTTGAAAACTATTCCAGGAGAGAGAGATCCAAGATGGCTGATCACTAGCAGCTCGGGATTGTAGCTCCCACTGAAAGCGCAGAGAATGAGATGATGCCACACTTTCAGATCAATTTTTGTTGCTCACGCACCAGGAGATTCCCAGCGGAGGAGCCCCAAGGGTCGCCAGCGCGACTCTTGTGGCTGGCGAGGTGGTTTTGCCGCTGCCTTGGCGCGGTGGTTCTTGGTGCAGGGTCAGAAAAGCACCATCAATCTTAACGGCGCTGTTTTGGCCGGCGCAGTGGGTTGCTCAGATTTTAGCGCTGGGAATCAACAAGTTGGACGTCCATTCAGAAACCCAACTATAAAGACAGTAATTATAAAGACCACAGATGGATAAATCTATAACGAAGGGAAGAAACCAGCCTAAAAAGGCTGAGAATACCCAAAATCAGAATGCCTCTCCCTCTACAGGGGATCACAGTTCCTCATCAGCAACGGAACAAGGCCTGATGGAGAAAGACTGTGTTCCATTAGCAGAAGCAGGCTTTAAAAAGTGGATGATAAGAAACTTCTGGGAATTAAAAGAACTTGTTCTAACCCAATGCAAAGAAACTAAGAACTTTGAAAAAAGGTTTGACGACATGTTAACAAGAATACACAATTTAGAGAGGAATATATGTGAATTAATGGAGCTGAAAAACACAACACAAGAACCTCGTGAAGTATGCACAAGTTTTAACAGCCGAATTGATCAAGCAGAAGAAAAGATATCAGAGGTCGAAGACCAACTAAATAAAACGAGAAGACAAGATTAGAGAAAAAGGATAAAAAGGAACAAGCAAAGTCTCCAAGAAATACGCGACTATGTGAAAAGACCTAATCTACGTTTGATAGGTGTACCTGAATGTGACAAACAGAATCAATCCAAGCTGGAAAATACGCTTCAGGATATTATTCAGGAAAACTTTCCCAACCTGCCAAGGCAGGACAATATTCAACTCCACGTAATACAGAGAACACCACAAAGATATTCCTCAAGAACACCAACCTCAAGGCACATAATCGCCAGATTCACCAGGGTTGAAATGAAGGAGAAAATACTGAGGGCAGCCAGGAGAAAGGTCAGGTTACCCATAAAGGGAAGCCTATCAGACTCACAGCAGATCTCTCAGCAGAAACCCTACAAGACAGAAGAGAGTGGGGGCCAATATTCAACATCCTTAAAGAAAAGAACTTTCAACCCAGAATTTTACATCCAGCCAAACTAAGCTTCATAAGCGAAGGAAAAATAAAATCTTTTGCAAACAAGCAAGCACTCAGAGATTTCATCACCACCAGGCCTGCTTTACAAGAGCTTCTGAAAGAACCATTACAAATAGAAAGGAGCAACCAGTATCAGCCTTTCTAAAAAATACCAAAAAATAAAGAACATCAACATAATTAAGAACTTGCATCAACTAATGGGCAAAACAGCCAGCTAACATTAAATGGTAATATCAAACTCACATATATTATTATTAATTCTAAATTTAAACCGACTAAATCCCCCAATCCAAAGACACAGACAGGCAAAAAAAGCCAAGACCCATCAGTATGCTACATCCAGACCCATCTCACATGCAAGGATACACAAAGACTCAAAACAAAGGGATGGAGAAAGATTTACCAACCAAATGGAGAGCAAAAATAAATAAATAAATAAAAAGCAGGAGTTGGAATTTTTGCCTCTGATAAAATAGACTTTAAAGCAACAAAGATCAAAAGAAGCAAAGAAGGATATTACATAATGATAAAAGGATCAATGTAACAAGAAGAGCTAAAGATCCTAAATATATATGCACCCAATACAGGAATACCCAGATATATAAGACTTATACGTAAAGAGACTTAGACTCCCACACAATAATAGTGGGAGACTTCAATGAGACAGAAAGCTAACATTGATATCCAGGAATTGAACTCAGATAAACTTAATTAACATTTATAGAACTCTCCACTTTAAATACACAAAATATACACTCTTATCAGTACCACATCACACCTATTTACAGGTTTAAATGAAATATTGATTGGCTGCTTGTTAGTTATTTTCTTCCCTTTTTTTTTTGTCATATCTCTATTATTAAACACAATTATAGGCATACCCATTTTTAGACTGCATTCTAGCCCTGGCAATAAAGCAACACCCCTGTTCTCTCTCCCTCTTCCTCTCCCTCCTTCTTCCTCTTCTTCATTCTTTTCTTTTTCTTTTTTTTTTTTTTTTACTTTTTCTCTTTCTTCAAAAAAAAGAAAAGAAAAAGAAAACTATTCCAAACACAGCTGGGTAGAGGCAAAGCACAGGAAGACCCTCCCTGCATAATGATGCAATCAGGGACAATCAGAGAAAGCTGCAGGCCCAGACGGTCAGCAGAGACACGAGGGGGCCTTCGAGATGAAAGCACTTCTCTACTGGCACTTTAGACAAAACCACAGCAGAAACAAACCCAACAAAACACAAGAAAAGGGAAGCTAGCTATGATGACTTTGTTTTTTGAGACAGGATCTCTGTCTGCCGCCCAAGGCGGGAGTGCAGGGAACGACCCTCCCACCTCAGCCTCCTGACTACAGGTGCACACCACCATGCCCAGGTAATTTTTTTCTGCAGAGATGAATTTTGCCATGTTGCCCACGCTGCAATCAAACTCCAGGACTCAAGCAATCTACTGGCCTCGGCCTCCTAAAGTGCTGGGATTCTAGGTGAGAGCCACCATGTCCAGCCTGTGATGACGTTTTAAAGGACCAAACTCGTTTACACTTGGGCAGGGATGAAGTCCAGTATTTGAATCCACGCAAACACACTGACACATGCCCTTGTGTACGCCTGTGAACTTGAAGGCGGCCATGCTGGACGCAGGCCTTGATATGGTTTGGTTCTGTGTCCCCACCCAAATTTCACCTTGAATTGTAATTCCCACATGTTGAGAAGCGATTGGATCATGGGGGCAGTTTTCCCCCATGCTGTTCTCCTGATAGTGAGGGAGTCTAACGAGATCTGATGGTTTTAAAAGCGGCAGTTTTTCCCGTGCTCACTTTTCCTTCCGCCATGATTGTAAGTTTCCTGAGGCCTCCCCAGCCATGTGCAACTGTGAGTCCATTAAACTTCCTTCCTTTACAAATTACCCAGTCTCGGGCAGTTCTTTATAGCAGTGTGAGAACCAAC